ATTTGCTTATTGAAGCAGCAAGTCACTCCCTTTTCTACATCCCTGCACTTAAAGGAGTAATTAAAGTGAAAAAAGATTCAGATCCATTGCAAAGTATAGCTGTTCAAAACATAATACAGCCCCCAAGATTAAGTCATTAACCAGTACTTTTAGAAGTAAGTTTATTTTAAAACTTTTCTATACCACCTTTCCATTCAGAAGAAGTAAGATCGTAATTTTTTTTTAAATGCAACCTGTTCTCAAGAATAAGTGAAACAAGGACAGACTTACTAAATGTGCATTGGACTATAAATTTCAAAACGCTACACTAAATTTAGCAATAGCATCGGTACAAATCAAGCATAACCTAATAAGCACATGCTGTTGATCAGCCTGTCTGCAGGAATTTGCTTGGTGTCCTCAAGACAATAAAGAGATCTACCAATAACACTGGAGTGAGGTTCAAGTCTGCATTCCTGCATTCGGCTTATAAACCTGACCTGGGACAAATATCAGTTCTTGAATTTTCCTCACAGTGCTGTGGTGATGAAATATGCTGTTCCTAGTAGCTTACAGACATGACAAGTTGATGGAACCTAAAATTCATAGTTACCTCTCTTAATTCCATCAGTCGTGCCTCATCAGGCATACGGGGATGCTTGTTGGAGTCTATGCTGCTCTTAAATCCAGGATTTGCAAACCCTCCAGGATACAACCACAATTTCTTTGAGTGTTCAACAGATTCCTTTAATATACTGTCTTCATCCACTGGGTCAAACATACCTGATAAATATTCATTATAAGCAAATCTTTTTCCTGGCATCTAAAAAAAAATAATGCATACATATAATTATATTTATCACATCCCCCCCACTCTAATGGAATTCATCTTAGAGCAATGCAGAGAACAGTCTTCTCTAACCTGCTGTCCTTCATACTACAATCCCCAAACTTCTCAACCAACAAAGTCCAAATGTCTAGAAGATACTAATGGTCCCAACTTATCAGGAGAGTACCAGGTTTGGGTGCCCTTGTCTGAGCTCTGTATCCATTGAAATAAATACAAAGGATGTTAACAAAGCTTAGCACCTTCATTCACGAACAAACGCAGGCATCTAATGGATTAACATGGGTAGTCTTACTTATTTTTATCTCATACCCAGAGAACTACTTTTCATTACAGGTAGTCCCCAGCTTAAGAACGAGTTCCATTCCCAAGGTCTGTCCTTAAGTCAAATTTGTATGTAAGCCGGAACAATACTGCCTTAGCACCTTCATTCACGAACAAACGCAGGCATCTAATGGATTAACATGGGTAGTCTTACTTATTTTTATCTCATACCCAGAGAACTACTTTTCATTACAGGTAGTCCCCAGCTTAAGAACGAGTTCCATTCCCAAGGTCTGTCCTTAAGTCAAATTTGTATGTAAGCCGGAACAATACTGCATAATACTGTATAAGTAGTATTGTATAATTAACTCAAACCATTGTGTATTTAACTTGAACCAATGTGTATTTAACTTGGATTTTGCTACAATAGGCTCCATTCTTAACTATGGGTCGTCCTTAAACTGGGTGTTCTTAACCCAGGAACGACCTGTACACCTTTTCTCAAGACATTTTTCTGCTCTCTCTGCTAACTGAGGCTGCCCAAACCCTGAGGACCACCAGAGGCCCATAAATGTCCAGCTGTCAGCTGCTGTCCAAGGAGCATTTGGAATTTTGGCAGCCCTGGTACCACATGCCTAGATTATTAGACTGTTCCATCTAGATTTCTAGGAAAAACATGAAAAAATATTTTAAAGAAGAAAGAAAAATCTTGCTTTCTTGCCTGTGTCATTTCTTCGCGAAGTAGCTGCTTTGCCATTTCTGCTGAATTCAGAGTCTGACAACTATAGTTAAAGATAGCTTTTTCACTCAAAGGGAAAGCTCTGACAGTTCTTGGGACTTCTCTTTCAAGCATTTCGCTGAGGAAGCTCACATACTCAATATTGGACTGAAAGACATGTAAACATGTAAAATTATTCTAGCCTTGAATGTATTCCCCCAAAGAAACATACATTAACTACTCTGCAGAAGATCAGTAATTAGACTGGCAGATACATAACACATATTTCAATTAAGCACTAGAACAGTAAACCAAAACTAAGCCTCTCCCTCTCTGTCCACTTTCTGAAAAAGTACTTCCTAAGATGCTATCTTAAAGGCAATATTCTGCAGGTAACTGAAAAGTAGAAACTCAATTCCATTTGTGAACTAACATTGTCTTGTTGGCTGCTAGCAGCCAATCAGTTTTAATAAAGATAGCAATTCAGTTGTATCCCTCATACAAGATTATTTCCTTAGTGATATCATTTTAGAAGTAAATGGGTAGAAGTTAAAGAAATCACAAACAGTCCTAAAAGCAATTCTTCAAACATTTGCAATAAACATTTGATAGTACTTTAAAACACAACTTTGTGTGCCTAAGTGATGGAATGTACCTTCTCCCTTTAAGCAGGCATTTTATGAATCTTCAGATCTAGCATCATTATGCCGAACACAAACCCAAAATGATCTGTTTTCTGAGAAAATACAGTTTTCAGGACAGAGTTGCTTCCATACAAACAAAAATACCAGTAGCTTAACCTTCAATTACTAGAAACTCAACCCTCTGAATTTATATCTGACCAAATAGGATGACACAGTTGATGGCTGGAATAGGATTTGCTCACAAAAGCAGATTCACTGAATACAAAGATCATTCACAAACTTATTCCAGACATTTGGGGAAAGTGTGTTTAAGTGTAATCCTATTGTGTCAGATCTCCCTACAGTGGATATTTTAATGTAGGAAGTACTTTCACACAGACTCTGACGTGCACACTGGGGAAGCAGTGGTACGTGCAACTGTATGGTATAAAACACAAGGGCATCTGGCGATCAGCCCCAGCCGTCATGACCAAAAGTTCATTTAAAAAATCTGCAGAGGTTGTCTACCCTTGTTCTAAGGCAACCTTTCACTATTGCACTTCACCCACCTGGATATAGTCTTGTGGTCCCTGATTTTCTTGTTCAATTTTTCTCAGTAAATACTTCTTATTACAATTATCCAAACAGGAGGACCTGTATTCCCTCATGTGCGAATATTTTTTCACTGTACCAACTGATGACAAGATCTCCGGGGGCTCCTGTACAAACAGGTCAGCTTTAGTCAAGGGAACCCCAAACTCCTGACTCAAGACTGTAATCATTTCTGCAGAGGGCAAGAGACTGCAATGGACCACTTCCCTTAATTTCTTACTGTGGCAGATGTAATCAAGTCTACAGAATAAAGTGTGGAGAGAAAGAATGAACAACTTAAGTGAGGTGTTATCATTTAAATAAGGGAACTATTAATTTGACTTTATTTTTATTACTGTTTGATTTACATTTTTCACCTTAACCATTTGATTCACCCTGAAAAGCAGCTTGCATATCTCTTAATAAATAAATCACATAGCAACCGTTTATTTTGGCCCAACAATCAAACCAGTGAAACCATTCAAACTGACAATGAATATGAAACAATACATGATGGTAGACTTGATTATTTAAACTCCCTTCCTCAACCTAGTGCCTTTGCAGGTAGGTCTAGAACTTCTCCAAGTTGCAGCTCCAGTTGAGTTTTGGAAAGTTTGTATTAAACATTGTCCACTGTTTATTTTTCAATGTGTCAAATCATCTTCAGAATTCTTGCTCCACCCTTTTCAGGTATAGCACTAACAATATTGCATCCTAATCAGTTCTTCTGCCCTACAGAGCTTCCAGGTGGCAACAAATCTCTTCTGGACCAGGAAGTGATCTGATCGTAGGTGACAATGACTTGGAGACAAAACGAGGCCCACTGTATGTCCACCTAAGTGACTCAGGCCCCAGACTACTTGGGACAGACCCATGGCTGCAAGGGAGGTGATACAAATGTTGAGCCCTGCCAGACCCTACCCTACCACCAAGATCTATCCTCAACACATTCAACTTCCAAATCTTCGTAACTCGTATGCCAAAATCTAAGAAAGCTGTAACCTGGAAAGAGCTTCAAAGCATGGCTGAGGAACCATATCCCGGATGTATAACAAAGGCTGCTTCATGATACTTGACAGTGGCTTGCAGAGACGGATGTGAAGCAGGACAGCTTCAAGATCTATATACAGGCGCTTGTGAAAAGACAAATGTGAATTATAGAATATCTGTAATCTGCCGTGTTTAGTTTCCTGCATCCTGTAACAGACAGGAAATAGAACTATATTAACCCACAAATCCCTAATTTCTTGCGTTGAGTTTTACTTTTAAAACACAGACACAAATCCTGCAAAATAAATAATAAATCTTTGCATTGTATATCAGTTTTCTACAACTTTTCCACTAAAACTCTTCTTCATGCAAAAGCAGCAAAAGAAGACACAAATGGCATTCCTGACAAAGCAAATCCCAGCTATTTGCCTATTAGGGTTATTTCAGCAGAATAAATCACAGTATTTTCAAAGAACATCGCTAAGGAAGAACAGCACTAACAATGGTTTGCTGGTCTGAAATATGCATTTCTCTTCATTTGGGGAGATCAGGCCTCTGAAAGATACTCTAAAAGAGAATACAGTGTGCTGAGCTGGGGAAACTGAAGCCAACTTAGAATTATGAACCCTTTCAGCTGCTTTAAGCACACCACTCATATGCAGGTTTAGATCTCTGCTTGCAAAGGATTGCGGCAATAATTAACATGTAACTACTGCCAAACTCAGCAGATTTAACATGCTACAGAAATAAAGGTGAGACTATAAATAAGGTCCTTCAGCTCCTGCCTGAACAGCTCAGCTTTCTTTCTTGGAACTGCACTAATGCTATGTTGGAATGAACTGCATTTTAATTCTACAAATGCAGCAAAGTACTCCTATCTATGCACTTCTGATAATGCTATTTTCACTCCTACTGTATACATATTTAGCTGGCATCCATATATTACTGAACTCAAGGGGCTTTTAGGTAGGTAAATATGCATAAATTTGCACATGAGTGAAAACAAAAGCTGTGCATCAAAAAGCAAGTAAGATGTGAAGCTTTGGGCATGAATGAGAACATGATGGCCCTTGCCACTTTAATACATTCAAGTAAAAATAACTGTGGTCCCGTTAAACGATACACTGTATGTTTTGAGACATTCTGTTGTTTTTTAAACAGAGACCTGTAACAGGCAGTAGGAATAACCTTGAGGAAGAGAAAGAGCCACAGCCAAGGCAACAGTTAGATAAAAGAAATCTGAGTCTGGGGCAGAAATGTAATTTGAGAAAGCGTCTCAGACATAACCCTAGTTCTCAAGAAGATAAAGGGAGGAAGGGGGAGGGGCATTCAGACTTGCAAGATTCTGTTACTGTAACCTTATAATAAAAATAGTACTGTACTGGCATGCATAACTTTGGTTTCCTAGTCTGGTCTACCTTGAAGGGCTGACACTATCCCAGTTAAGTAAATATTTCAGCTTCACTGAATATCTCCTGGCCCTGCACAATAAGAACATCATACCCCCAGTAGGAGAAAGCTAGCTTTTTCCTCTGTGGCTTAATTCAGTCTTCCACTGTAAAGTTCTAATCTAACAGGATAGCAAAGGCTGGTCTAACTGCTTGCCTTTGGCTTTGAGGAACTTAAATGCATTTATCTTTCTCTGAATTGTGCAAATGAACTACCATTAGTAACCCCTGCAAAAGGGGGGCAATGATCTAAACATCAAGTATTCATATCATACACTTAAAATATTTTAAAAACATTTTTACAAACTAGCAAGTGGCAAACACTATAGTCAGCTCTAAAGGATGGACATAATGGAATACATACAAGCAACTAAGTTTAAACTCATATTGGTATACTTCTATTTTCTTTGTGGATTAGCAGAGAAAGGTTAAAAGCAGCCATTGTGTGCTGTAGAAGTACAAAATATAGAACTCAGTGTCAAAAAAATGTTCTAAACATTTTATATTCTTTTAGGTAGAGGATGACTAATGGTAAAATAGAAGCATTTCCCCTTAACTGCAACACAAAAGTTTTAATCCAATGTGCTATAGATAAGAAAATAGTACAGCTTTATAACGCTCTTGTTCCTCCCGACTGGCTGGGTATTCTGGCAGGCAATCCCAACTCAGTGAAGGGTGCCAGTTTCGACTGAAGCTATGGGGAGCAGGGGAGAACTGTGGGCTCCCTATCCACCCCCATCTGAATCCTGAACTACATCAGGTCCCTTGATGCCTAGTATTTGCTTTCAAAAAGTAATGGATATAATTGCTAACTCTATAAAATAGCATCTTGCTGAGTTTGCACCCAAGATTCAGCAATTGCAATTCAATGTCAAACTTAAGAATTCCACCATTCTTAAGAAAATGTGATTTGGCTACAGTGGATTCCTAATACACAAAAAAGAGAAAGAGCCACTACTAAATAGTGCTACAATAATTTCTCTTATTATTTTTGTAATCTTAATTGGTTTTGATATTCAAAATATCCAAATAACTCAAATCTATCTATCTATCCCAGGAATTCTAAATGTGACAGCATCCTCAATTATCCGTTCTTCCTGCATGTATTCAAAATTCCTGTCTCTTGTACCCAAATGAGCATGCTATATAAAGAAAGCTACCAATTTCCATGACACTAATGTTTTTTTTTTTTTAATGTTCAGACTTAGCTTTCATTCCAATGTACTGGTTCAGCATGCACAATTACTTTTTTAAAATATCAGGGTGCATTCCAGCCACAGTCTAAGGAGGTAAAATCTAGTACTTCTATTTATAAATCTATGAAATGGTCACCTATTAAATGTTCACAGGCTGGGCATTTGGAGAACCCCAGGCCTGTTGATACGAATTCTGAATTTTCTCACTGTTATTGATTAATAGAGTCACTGGGAGTTGGGTGGCATAAAAAATAAATAATAATTATCATTATTTCAGTTTGAAGATGGTGGCACAGGCAGGATTCTCATGATCAGGAGATGTGAGAGACTGCTCCCCCTCCCTCCTTGACAGAGAGGAGAGAGGAAACAAAAGCAACTACTTTTTCTACTTTCTATTAGGATGCATCTTGTAAATTGCCTTCAGAAGTAGATAACACAGAGAAAAGTAATTTAAATAGTAAAATGGTGTTGATTACCTATCAATCTTTTTATTCCACAACCTCTTGAGTGCTTTATTCCTGAAACCTTCCAGGATAAAAAGGTGAATGGACCCATCTATTATGTGAAATCCAGTAATAATATCTAGCTGAGAAATCTCTTCCAAGGAAAGTTTCTGATTCAGTTTCAAAGTATTAAGAGATTTTTGAGTTACATCTGTGGAATAGGAATCAAACAGAAAAGCCTCTGCATTAATTTCTGTAATCTCTTGCATCAAATAATGTAAGAGCGAAGTATTATTATAATCAAAAAGATAAATGATGCAGCCATATGGACAATGTGCAGCAACAGCATCCCCTTCTTCCTCTGCGGGACCTAATGGTATGCTTATTTCAACTCTCACTTTAAGATATGATTCTGCATTTACATAATGCCTCATTGGAAACTGAACATCTTGAGATTCATCTGTTTTCTTAGTCTTCGGGCTGGTGTTTTTTCCTTCGGATAGAGATGTATCTTGAATTGAGCAGTTGTGAATTTGTGCATAAAAATTCAAGGTCTTTTCACCTAGTAGTAAATCACTCAGGTTGATTTTAGCTACTCCATATGGGTTCCAAACACCTTCTGTGGCTGTAATGGGATTCTGGGCCATGTATCTCGAAGTAACAGTGCTTAAGTCACTTATCTTGCTGTCTCCTGGTTCCTCTCCAAACAAAGATGGCTTCATCTTGCTATCTTCCATTTTCCTGTCTCGGTCATGAACTTCAATTTCCAAAGGTGGACCTCTCAGGTATTCACTCAATTTTCCAGGTTCTATTGTTCCTACAAGAATCACATTGGTATCCTTAAAGAAGACATCAGTTCCATGATCTCGACCTTGTGTCTGATAGGGACACATATTGTAGAAAGTGTATTTGCAGTAAATGGGAATGCAAGTTCTCTATAAAAGAGAGAATAACAGTAAGAATATTCAGTATAAATACTATCTGTTGACCCTAAGTATATTAAGTGTACAGTTGAATTCAAGACATCTAATAAAACAATTCCAAAGTAATAACTAAAGCCAAAAATAAAATCTAAAGAAATTGAATAAGGAAAAAAGCACCGATGGTCCAAGAGGGAAGGTGACAGGGAGAACACTCCAAGTACACACCCCTAAGCAAGGTTTTCCCTAATCTGATACCACAATTTAAGAAAGGCTTGTGTTCATTCACATCTCATATGGGAATAGAAAGATTTTGCTATAGTGCAGCTACACTTGATAGATCAACTTCTGAAGGTAGTGTCCTGTTTCAGGTTTCAAACACACACACAGAGTTGCTAGGTAATGGTAAGTAATTTACTCAAGGATGAGCAGACAATCAAAGGAGCATAAATCAGAGTCTCTGAAGCTAAGGCTTGCCTGTGTAGTTTCACTATCCACAAGAATATGCAGAAGAGTAGTCAAATTTCAATCCGAAGTTCAGAGAGCCAAGCAAGGTTCGTCAGCTAGTCCAAGGGTCAGAGTTTCAGGTTTCTTACATGAGCAGAAGGCAACAATACACCAGATACAGGAAATCAGACAGTTGTTTCCGACAAGGAAACGTAAGTCAAAACTGCCTCTTAAATAAGGTTGAAGCCAGCTGTATTTAAGGGACACCTGTCCTTGCTTGGCAAGGGGCCTCACTGAACATCTTTGCTCTGATCTCTGCTCTACTCACCAAGTCCAAGGGCTTGGAGGCTGCACCTCATCATCTGGCTGTTCTGATGCTGCCTGTGTTTGATCAGCCTCAGGGATTCCTGGCTCAGTGTCTCCTGAGGCTGGCATTCAACTGGTTCAGCTAGAGAAGCTTCTTCGGACTCTGTCTGAGTCCAAGGCCATGACAGGTGGTGACAGAATATTAAGCTATGCAGACTGTTGCTGTCTTGTCTAACACACTATATAGTATCTGTTTAGGAAACCCATGTCAGACTGGGGATTGAAATGAGATGTCACTGGTATGTTCACAATATACAGGGGTTTTTTTTCTTTTTCATCTGATTCAGGTGTGGTGCTGGGTATTCTTAAAAATAACTAAGGAATCCTGAAGTTTACGAAGCAGAAGAGTAAATTCATAATGAATTAGATTAAGAGAATTTTTTGTTCTTATCTTCAGGGATTCATCTGCTTTAGTGGAGGGAATGATTGGGGATGAAAGGCATAAATAGTTTGGAAGGTAGCACAAACAGCAGAAGATTAAGCAACTGGATGGTACAGAAATTATTATCCTCATCAGCAACAAGAATCTTGAAAAAACAATTGGATCAAAAGACTGCAGATTATCAGAACTGCAACGTGGGAACAGATTTCTATACATTCTAGATCTAAACTAAGTAAAGGGCAAACAAGAGGAAATTCTACAGCACTTCCAATTCAGGACAACCCACTAAAATAGTCACAGAGAACATGTCTAACATCAGCCAGGCCAGCTGCAAGAGCCATCATGTCTATGCTATTTTGAAGTATAGGACATACAGTAGTTCCATAACTTAGCAGTTACTGAGGACACACTGGAGTGGGAATTGTGCAGAGAGGATCCAAGAGGACTGGGAAGGGAGGAACCCTCTCCCAGCCCTAGGTGAGGTGTAGAGCAGAAAAAAACAGTGGAAACAAAACAACAATGATAATGGCACCATGAGGAAGGAGTGAAGTGGCTTTTGATGAAAAAAAATGTAGAAAGAAGAACTGAAGGTTCATGAAGGGTAAATGCTTTTTAAATGAGTTCTCTAGAGAAGGAGAGCCAGGACGGAGAGAATGAGGGTGAGACAGTCTTCGCTGGTTCATTAAAAAGATACAGATGCTTCATTCAAAGCTATCCTTTAAATGAAACTGAAAAATAATAAAATAAAAAATGACCTTCCATAGTGGTCACCATATTGCTGAAGTTCTAGATTAAGGAGACCTGGTTTTTCACTGCTATGCATTATGAAAATTAAAGTTTTCTAAATTTCATTTCAGGACATTTATATCTTATAAATACTCTCCAAAAGTGTAAATGGCAAGTCAGAAATTCAGGAACCAAAAACTCTTCAAAATGTTGTTTTCCCCCAGAATGTCCTCTATTATCACTTAATATGTAGAACTGAAAAGAAGAATTACCTGCAGCTCTTCAACTGTAACTGGGGTAGTTGGTAGACATTTTGCAGACTGAATCCTAATAATCAGTGGATTTAAGTCATGTTTGTGTTTCTCACTCATAATAGGTCTGTCAATAGCAAAACCTAAGTATGCTTCAGTAAGTTTGGGGGACTTCTCTCCCAATCGACTGGCTGTATAGCGTTCACCTGCAGATGGAGAGAAGGGCTTGAATAATTTATGACTATTCAGGTAAAAAAGGGAAAGTCTCTGTCAAGTAGTCTTGCTGTCTACATGGACAAGGCCATGTACATTTCCTGGCACAAACACTAACATGGGTTGTCACTGTCTTCTTCCAGAATGTGTTTCCCACCAAATTTCCTCTTTAGCCTCCTACTCTGGCATTCTCAAGTGATCCCCCAACCAATTACTAACCTGGGCCAACCCTGCTTAGCCACCAAGTGCAACCAAGCACAGCTATCTGCTGGGGCTGACTGTAGAGGGGCCTACGCTAAAGAAGCAAGACATTCCTGTTGCTGCTTAAAATACAAGTGAACTACTCTAGCTTTCACTTTCGCTACTTAGGAAATACCAAGAAGTAGAAAGGAAAGAGAAGATAACTATGATAGCCTAGTATGATATTCTGGTCTGGCCAGTCCAAGTTGTATAGGAAGTAATAAAAGAGGAGCCAGGAAAGCATATGAAGCAACACATTAATTGAAGGTCAAAGTGTTTTCAATCAAAAGCTTTCTTTGGGACTAATCAAGTAAGATATATACCATGGCTGGGACATACCAAGAATAATTCTTCTTATCAAATATTTTGTTTAGAAGAAATGAATATTTCAAATTGTATTGCCCAGATGAAAGGAGATATTGAGAGATGAATGAAATACTCTCAGTCTGTGGGGAAGAATATACGTAATAAAAAACTGAATATGGCTTCTGTACTGAGGCATATTTTGAAAGCAATGCCTATGCTGGTCCCATATATGTTTGGGTTATGTCCTTAGTAAGTAGCTCCTTATTGGTTAGATATTACTATGGTGAACATTTGCAAGGAAATAAAGGTTCAAGTATGTACACTAAATGTGTGGTTAAATTATATTCCACAAAATATAGAATTGTCTATTTAGGAAGAGCTTTGGACTCTTGTAAAAAGTGATTCTATTTGCTTGGAAGGATGCAACAATCAAAATCATTAAACTGGTTTTGAATCAACCAAGAGACAAGCTTAGACAATATGCTTCCATATCATCTAGGTTTTATTGATTGCCTAAAAACTGAATCGTAATAACCAATATAATTATTATAATACTATTTTATTATTGTAGAATTTTTAAAGGGAAAGAGTGCTGCAGAGTGCTACAGATGTGGTCTGTCCACACTTCTAATTTAGACTGCTTCCAGATCACTAAACAGCCAGTCTGGGATAGACAGGCACCAGCCTAGATTCCGAAAGGCATTTTAATTTGTCCAAGGCTGGTTTCTGACTTGGATACGCCAAGGGTCGTCAGCAGGGGGAGCCTACAAATCAGCAGCAGAATTTAAGGAGCATTGCAAGCAACTTGGAGGAGACACATAAAATATGGGGGGACTTTACAAACTTCATCAGTGGGTTTATTCAGCAAGCTCAATGTATTTCCCCACGATGCAATAACTGTTTGCTGGGCAACACCCAAGACAGAAAATCAACCAGGTACTTGACACCTGACTCCAGGCTGTGTAATTTGCAAAATAATTTGCACTAAGGAATGGAGATCTCCCTTGGCCTCTTTTCCAGTCCTGAAAATAGCCCTGTGAAAGCTGGCCATAAAACGCAAGGGAGTTTTATGAAGTGAAAAAGAATCGGTCCCTTCTTTTTTTTTCCCCCAGAACATTACATAAGTTGATGAGTAACTTACACAAATGGACACAGAAAGGCTGGATTTTTTTTTTTTTTTTAAGACTAGCAACTTCAGGAGATTTACCGTCAAGGCTGTTGCATTTTAATTTACAACAACCACAAAGAAACACTGCTTGGCATTAGTCCTGATGAAACTGTTTCAGACAATCTAGTTTTGCCCATTTCGTCTAAAAATGGAAGTGTCCTGGCAGCCCCACAACTCAAATGTTGCGTCTCACCATTAAAGGAACCCACGCAATCATTCATCTCCCAGAAAAAACGATCTGATTGCGAGCAGCGTCCATCGGGGGGGAGGGGGGAGGGTCAAAAACTGCCAGAGGGCAGACGTGGCACTGCAACCCAAGCCCTGCCCCCTTCCTTGTCATACGTGTGTACAAAGGGTGGGGCTTGGACCCTGATGCTGCGCCCGCCATCTTGCAAGTATTTATCTCCCTCCCCGACATTCCTTTCATAATATTCCCATTTCCCCCACTACTCATCTCTGGGGAGAAAAATACCTGCTAGAAGGGGCATGAGGTCCAGCTGCAAAAGCGCTATTCCAAACTTCCTTGCCTGTGCTGCCAAGGCAGCTGCCTCTTTACCAGCTGACTTCTGAGAGGCCTGTTTCGTTTTCTTTTCGGTAGTGAAACCACTGCTTTTTTGTGATGGCCTCTGCTTTTCTGATAATTGGAGGAAACCTGGAAAGTTATAGAAGTCAATCATGTCAAGACAACTGAACATTATGCAAACCTAGGGAAGTAGTTAAATGCTTAGGGAATACGGGGATGGGCAGGCTCAACTGCTTAGTTGTAAAGGAAATAGTAACTTAAAGATTAAGCTGCAATGTGTAGAACTGTTCTCAAAGGTAGCAGACTTTGGAGTCCTGGGAAAGAGGACCACAAAACAACCAAGATGTCAGATGTCCCAAGGAGTTAAGTGCCTCAGTCAAACCCATTCCTTTTCTGCACGGAGAGGTGTCTGCTTCTACTGTAATCTGTATGTGTGATGACAATAAGGCTGCAAAATTTATCCTTTTTCTTCCTGCCTTTGCTTCTGATAAAATAATGATGACTGTCCCTAAAGTGTTAGCAGGCTTCAAGGAAAGGACCAAAATACAACATCAGGAAACAGACACCACAACAAGATCCCACAAAAATGGTTAGATGGAATATATGCTAAGTTAGTCACAAAGGACAGGAAATGGATGCATGTGGCTATCACTCATACATATTAATGAATGGCATCTAATTATAACATAAATAAGGAAACATACCAAGTAACAAGGGTGTTATAAGGAAGCTGCCTTATAGCAAACCAGACTAGTTATCCATTTGTCCAATCTCGTCTACTCTGAGAAGCAATTCCTCCTCCAAGTCTTATCTTGTGCAGATATTTCAGTTTTTTTTTCAACAGAAATATCAGCCATCAAATTTATAAAACTTTCTGCAGACAATGTAAGTACCCCTTATAAATGAGGCTATGAAAAAAATTAAGAATTATAGGTAAGTTATGAAACTGAATGTAGATTCTGGAGGCAAGAGGCACATTCAGATGTTTAGAACAGTTCTGCAGAGGCAGTGCTGAAGGGTTAGAAGTCTTCACTTTATCACTACAAGCACTCAGGAATTACACATTCCAGCTCTCCCCCTGCCTTGGTATAGCAGCTTTGTGGTGACTGCTGCAGCCAACTATCTTCCAAGGAGGTGCCTTTACCTGACATCTTTTCCCTAATCAAGGCATGTGAGAGACAAAGGGTCACTGTAGCCCATGTATCTTCTGGCAAATAAAAAGGGGAAAAAATGAAATAAATTCTATAGTATCGCCATCTGGCCTGTAATATTGAGGCATGTGACTAAGGACATCCGTCCCCATGCCTTGGGAGATCAATCTCACGCGATGTAAATAAAATCAAACTTTTAAAGGAGGCACATGCAAAGCATCTAGTGGTGATGGAGATAAAAAGACAGAGCTGCTACAGTCACTAAGAGCAGCTTAAAAGAATGCCCCTTTAATGTCCTCCTTTAAAAGAATAAAGGACAAATTGAGGTTCTAGATAGACACAAGAAACTGTCGTTCTGCCCTAATTTAGACCAGCTCTGCTGTAAAGAGATCCCAAATTGCATAAAAACGCAGTTTACTAAGCATGTATAAAGAACATAAATATCAGAAACAAAGCATTAACTAGCAGACACAGAAAATAAATCAACTTACTGCAATTCTTAGTTAACTTTTTTCCTATTCCTCTACAGGCTAGACTAGCCTTGAATCAAATTCCTCTTAGATTTAATTATTACCTGGAAAATCTTTCTTCCCGCAAATTTCAGCTTAAATCTAAAGCTGAGGGAAAATGATTAAATCCCACTTGTTTCCAGCCTCTCTAGCAACATCTGGACAGCAAATCTTTTCTCCAGCAAGCAGAAAGGGAGCATTTGTGGAAAAACTGTTGTGTATGTACAAAAACTCATGTGCTGCTGCTGGAGACTGAGAAGATATATATTCCCTATCAGCTGCCATTCCTTGTGAATGTTGGGTGACATCACAAGCTCACATTAATTTAACTCAACTTTCTCAACCGAATGCTCCCCAGGTATAACTCTGAGGGTGGTTAATTCATTTTATGCCTCTGTACAACTCAGATCCTCAGGTAAATTGTGAAAGAAAATCAAAATAAAAAATTCTAACCTTGATTCCAAATATGTATTTTGGAAGATTTACCCATAATCCTCTTTCTTTGGGTAAAGTCAGAAATACTGGCTTGTGAATACACTGTATTAATTTGCTTGTCTTCTACATACTGCCTACAAATTTGTCATTAACATTGGCAACGTTCATTATTATCTTGCTTATTAAACCTATTACCTTAAAAAGATTTCTGTGTGTTATTTAAAACTGAAATCATAAATATATTCATTTGGAAAGAAAAATCTTCAGTGGCGTTTACTTCCTAGTAAATGTATAGGGTTGCATGAATCTCAAGGACATACTCACCCCCAGACATTGTTTCCTTTCTGTCTGAAAAACTTTGTAATTTCCCCCCATCAGGTTTTGTTAACGCTGACAGTTTAGCAGGCAGTGAGTGACGCCGTTTCTGTTTTATAATTTTAGCTTCCTGAAGGGTTCTTTCTTTAAAAGAAGATGCTATGCTCCCAGAAAAACTGACTGCACTTCAAAACAAAGAAAGGAGTAAAGCTTGTGTCATGCAGAAGAAAATATTATATATTATCTGTATTGCTGCTGCTGAAAAAAAAATCAGCTAATGATTCCACTTATAAAAAGTAGAAATAGTAGGGATAAATGCAGATGGCATTCGAAAGTTTCTTGAAGATCTATGCATCCTCTGGACTGTGGAAAGCAAAACATTATAAATTGTTCATGATTTACAAATTTAAACTAAGTATTAATTCAGTATGCAGTATTAATCCCACTTGTCTACCTACAAAGAACCAAAATAATTTTCAGAACTCCAAAACAATAAAAAGCAAATTATAAAAACAGCACATTAGAAAGAAACACAATTTAAAATAGCAATGTGAAACAACAAAACACATACTCAAATTGGTTGAGGACTTTTCCTCATGTTCAGAGCTCCTGGATGTTACCAACCCGTTGCTGGGCAAATGAAAGTGATGTTTTCCATGAGAAGTGGGATAAAACCTCCTAAATGAATGTTGCATGGAGCCTCCAGAATTGGCAGTCTGCCAGGACCGAATTGGCCCAGCACCTCTCATCCAAGCATGGGATTCTGGGCTTCCGTGGCCATTGGTCCTTTGGTTGCTGTAGAGAACAGAATCTCACCTGGGAACCCCCCATTTTATTTTCTTTCAGTTTGGCTCAGAGGTGTAACAACCTCATGGAAGAGCTTCAATGAGGTTGATGTTCTAGTCATTGCAAGAGTATCCTCCACGGAGTCCTTCTGTACTGATGAATGATACAAGAGGTGAAGAAGTACCTGGCTTTATTCATCCCCCACCCTTCTCCATTTCCCATCTTTCCTACCTCTGCAGCAGCACACGGGAAACAAGGCCCTTTGGACTGAACCTTCTTTTCAGCCACCTTTCGGTGGCTACTTTGCTTTTAGGAGTTATTAAATGTTACTGTGATTGGAGGAACCTTTGATATTTAACACAAAAGAAAGTGTGCCTTTGGTGGGGGGAAGGGGGAAGAGAACACTGTAGGCAACAATGTGGTCTATTCAACAAAGGGGAAGAAAGAAGGGGGAATACCAGCTTCATCTCTTCTTCACTCTATGCCAGCCTATAAGGGATACCAGAGAAAGTCTGAATATGCTTCGCCCCCCCCCCACTTTATCTTAGTGTGAATTAGGGAGGGGCTTGTCTGAGTCATTTACTCAAATTAGTTTCTTGGAAGGGGCTCAGCTGCACTTGTCTGATCACTCCCTTGGCACGGCTCTTCCTACAGTCCTTCAAGGCCATTCCCTATTCCCTCTACACTCTACCTGTAACCGTGGGAGATACAGGAGGGCCTTGCAAGCCAATGTTGGCTTGCTCCTACAGCTGCTGGTCCCTTGCCAGGGCAAAGCTCTAATGAGAGGGCCATGGAGGAGGAAACAGGAACTGGGGAACAGGAGCTAACACATTTCTGCACCTGCAGCTGGGCTGGAAATCTGGCAGCATAGTCAAGTTGTCTGTGTCCATGTGTGTGTCCTCCCTCCTCCACAGACAGACTCCTTCCTGCACAAATCCATCAGCACTGGGGCTTCCTCTTTTCTCTGCCCCCACCACATGGACAAACCAACCTCCACCGTAAGTCCTGCCATCCCACCAGTCAACCTCCTTGGTTTATCAGCAGTTCCTACCTTCCTGCTTTCTGCCAAACAATCACTGCTGTACGTGCAGGCAGACTTGCAGTACAAGCAGGTGTGGTAAAGAGACCGCCGTGAGAGGGAGTAATTTTCAAAATGACACACTTTCCTCCTCTCTCAAGGTTGGGGAGAAAGCCCATCAACAAGGCAGCAGGGATGAGCCCTTAGCTCGAAATACTGGCTTGCAGTATTTTCCTGCAACTATGACGATGAGTCGTAAGCAGTATTACTTATTGTATCAACAAGAATGTATCGTGCAACTGCATCACCATTGATTTCTGACATTTTAGTAAAAAAAACGTTGTATAACTTACATGAATACAGCCAATGTTATGCAATTTCACAGAATCTGATGCACCAAGTAATCACATAAAATGGATCTGCATTAATATCGCTCGAGCAAATATTTGCACTATACAAGATTCTGAATTAGCCAATATGAACAGCCTACTAGGGTGACTACCAGTGGCCCTAGAGCCTAGCAAACTGTTCCTTAAAAATGTCCCAGCAATAATTAGACCTGTCAAATTTAAATTCCATTTCAGACCCATGATTATAGAGACAGAGGGACATGTCTAATGAATGAAAATTCAACTGGCCCGAAACCTGAGTAATTAAATTATTTAAAAAGCTTTCTGAAGCATGAAGGAACAATCTAAGAAACAAGGTACTCCCTAAGTGTATTACTGGTTGATTTAAAACACACACACACATACTTCTAAAACTTCTTCACTACTCATTAAAGTTCTCTAGGCAAATTATCCGAGTTCATTAAATTCACTGAATTGAACTGAATTCATTCCGTGCACGCAGATCCAGAATCACTACCGCCAAAAGACTTGTCCCCAGATTTCAAGGTAAGCCCTGGAAAGGTCACCTCCTGCAAATAATGTAATATAAATGATGGATTCTAAGTAAGGAAACATGAATAAAAGGGAACCCAAGCAAAGACAGAGAGAGAAAAAGCAGCCATTGTGGCACGCACCCAGGTCTTTTCCACAATTCACAGAGGAGCTGCAGAGTCCTCATGGCACCTTCATGAAAGGAAGGAGAAAGGCTGAGGCACATGGAACACTTTGTGGTGAAGAGAGGACTTCACAATAAACACAATTCAGTGAAATCACACTGCTCTTACAGCAAATTTGATTACTGTATGTTTTGATCATGCAACAGGCCTGTATTTCTGGCACTGCAATGACCACCACATACGACCGCTGGGACGCTGGAAGGAGGATGCTGAGAACATACCAGCAAATGAAGCCAGCAACATCATGAGGCCTGAACAGCCTCTAGGCACTTGTTAAAACTCTCGTCCCCTCCAGCTTAAAAGAAAAAAGAACATTCCCATTTTCAAAACTTCACCTGGGTTTCTGACATGTTTTAAGGACGATCACAGTATAGATGTTGACAGTATTTTCTTCTCCCTTTTTCTTTTCATGACGTTAGTTACCTTGTTTATCAGACTTGCACATACTCAGAAGGGAAGATTGATTTTAAAAACAAGCCCTTTTCCTGGTTTTCTAACCTTGGGCAGCAGACAGCAGAGCTCCAGCTACTGTTCCTTCTGCCTTGCCTCAAGTCTCACATGCCTCCTCCAGGGCAACTGCACTTCGGAGCTGTGATGCTTGACAGTCCAACACAAAGGACAAGCTGCTCTTTGGAGTAAAGAGAACTGGGACTGAAGCAGAGAGGATGGGAGGACCAGTGGCAGGAGGGGGCTGGGAAAGAAAAAAAGAACAAGTCTCGCTCTGCAAGAAGGAGCAGAAGAAAAAAACAGCATGTTGTGTGAGAGAGGAGGAAGGGTGGAAGGGAAGGAAGGAAACACTGCCCAGGAGGGGAGAGGAAAAGAGCAGCCAAAATACAGGAGCATGAGGGGCAGCCATAGAAAAAGGGGAAAATGCTTCACAGCACACACAGAAAAACAGATCGACTGAAAACTAAACTGAAACCCAATGGCAATGGCCTTGGAGTTGGTTCTCCATCTTCCCAACTCCTTTGGCCATACCAGCTGGAGTTTATGGAAGCAAAATCTCAAGACCATTTTCAGGAAGGAAGGCTATTATTCACCCGCACAGGATGCATACAATCTGGCGAGCTACAAGGAAATAAGAATAATGGATTAAACTTGTATGCCAAGTGACTCTGGGCGGCTCACAACCAAACAAAAAAATTAAAATAAAACCAAAAAAAGATAAAAGATGGCAAGCATGATGAATTGAGGTGATCTCACTCTCGGTCGCCAAAGGCCTGAGTGATGAGCCAGATCTTCCCGGCTCTTCTAAACAACAGCAGAGTGGGGGCCATCCAGATCTGGGGGGGAAGCTCAGAGGGTATGAGCGTCATGAAGTGCCAAAGTGAATGTATGACCAGATTCAATACTTAAAAGATCTATCTCCGTGGGCATGTGCCTGTAATTTAGATTACTGGTTCTTATATCCCTGTAGGACCATAGCCGTACTTTTGATACTTGTTGGCCAAAATAAAACATAATGACAAAAGGGGCTACAAGGTTGGTAACCACGAGTAATGTTTTTAACTCATGTGGTGTTTTATTAGTCACAACAGCATCTACATACAGCCACAGAATAGTATTATATAAACACTTATTCAATCCATAGAAGGTAATCATTATTTTGCTATGCAGGGAAGGAAGCCTTCCACAGGTCCCCACAATGCTCTAAAAGGGCAATGGCAATATCAATCCCTTTCCAATTTATTCAAGAAAGAATAAATAATTTTTTTTTCTTATGACTACCTTCCCCCAAGCTCTTGCGCAAATTACAGCAAAAATGTAGAAGAAAGAGGGCAGACCCTGCTAGTTAAACCCTAAAAGTCCTCTGCATGTTGACTTCTTCAAGGATTAAATATTTTTGTGCAATGGTGCTGGTGCAGACTGTATAACATTGGGATAGGTGATCTTCACTGAACTGGTTATTGTGATTATTATTTAGTAAATATGATTGAAATATGATAATGCTAGGCTGTCATACAGAGAAGAGAAAAGCCATGAACATTCCAGAGTGCAGGGCATGAAATGGCTGTCAAATATAAAGGAATTCAGATTCTGATTGAATGTTAGGAAAAAAATTCCTTATTGGCAGGAGCAGTTCAATGGTGGGGCTAAATATTGGGAGGGGGTCTCCACTTGCTGGACAGTTTTATGAAGAAGCTGGACAGCCATCTGTCTGGAATGCTTTACTTCCAACTCTGGCTTTAGTTCTTGCCTGGTGAGATCTAGATTTTTTAAGAAACAAGTACATGGGAGCCTTTAACCTTTATGGGACAGAGTAAGAAGAGAGCGGCAAAGTGGAAAACAGAACTGAAATGGGACTGCCAACCATT